TCCCTTCCTCCCTCCCTCCCTCCTCACCCGAAGCCATCGTAAAGCGGCCTCGGCACAGGCAGGTGGGAAACCTGGGAGCAACCGCGACGATTTCGACACCAGCACCACTTCTCGGCCCTCCCTCCTTCCCGCCCGCCCACCCTCCCTCCCTCCTCCTCCTTCCTCTGTCCCCTCCGTCCCTTCCTTCGTCGCCGAGGTGGAGGGGAGGGAGTAAGGGAGGGAGGGATAGCACCGGGAGGGGGCGGCGGCCAATTCCGCCGCGAGCTCCACCCCCACAGAGCCCCCGCCCACGATCAGGACATGTCTCGCTGCGGCGACAGCTCGCGCCTCCCGTTTCAAAACGGAAAGACGTCCCTCGCGCGTGGACTCGTCCTCTCCCCCGCCCTCCCCCCCGCCCTCCCCCCCGCCCTCCTCCGCCACCTGTTTCGATGTGTCCCGGTCCGTCTCCGGATGCTCCTCGCTTTCCCACCCCTTGCCTGCCCGTCGGGGAGGAGAAGGATGGGGTGGGACGGAGGCAAGGAGGGAGGCGGGGGCTTTGATGGGAGCGGCATAGCCCGACCCTGTGCATATCAGGAGGTGGTCGTACGGGACCGCCACCGTGTACGTCGTGCGCTTCTCCTGCCGCGGATGTTTCTCGTCCACGCGGCTGCTGCTCCCATCGACAGCGTGTCCATCCGTCGGTGGGTCTTCCCTCTTCCCGTAGCACGTGACCTGAATGCTTTTCGTCTCGATTTTTCTCAGCCACCCCTTCACCCACGTCACTTGGCCTGTACTTTCAGTGGCATCCACTGTGGGGGGCGTGCCCCAGGGCTTTTCCAGTATCCTGGTGTGTGAGGCAGGAGGCAAGGTCAGGCTATGCCGAATGCCAGTAGAATCTCTGCATCAGTCCGGGCGTTTTCTCCCTATCTATGCGTGCATGCACGGACAAGCTCCCCTAAGGCCCTTTCTTGACCGACTGCCATCCATGAATCGGTGATGACAACCGTACACGCGTCCGTATGTACATCCATTCTGAGGTCGTACGAATGTGAGCGCATTTCGTAGGGTCCTGTGTTCCCTTTTCGTACGTACTCTTTTAAAGGCACGCACAAAGCATCGGCATGTTCGGGAGCTACGAGGGCGCGTAAGATGCCCGGTGTGTACTCGAAGTAGCCCTTGGGCTCCACCACGGTCACCCGAAAGGGTCTTCTCTTCGTAGGGTCCGACGCCTGGACCAAGGTTCGGACGGCAGCCAGGCCCGCGAACGACGCTCCCACCACAACAATCGAGACGGGGGGCACGTTCTCCGGTGGCATCGAAGGCCGCTGAAAGAAGGATGAGAATGCTCCTCCCATGGCCTTGACCACCTTCTCGCACGTAGGCCTGTATATGGTTGTGTGATTTTAACATTATGTGAGCGCCTTTGTTGGATAGGGAGTGAGCTATCGCACGACTTTCGATCGAGTGCTAATATATTTTCAGATTGCTACGATCGATCCAAGTACATAATCTTCTCTGAAAACACGCAAATGCTACGCGATTGCCTGGAATTTAGACCGGGCTGTGACGTGAACGTTTTGTTCTCATATCATTGCCCAAGCTGGTGCACACCAGCATCGGAACAAAGGGACAATTTCGTCCGTAGTGTGTGGTATCGTCGCTCAATCTTCAAGTCATGCGACCTTCATAAAATGGTCGTGCGTTTATGAAATATTTCATGTCTCCAGCTATGATGCTCCTGACACTTTCGTTTCTACTGCTACAGGCTTCTTCCCGCTCCTCATAGTCCGGGGACGCAATTTCATGCGCCACGTAAGTTTGTCCGTTTTTCTAGTCCACTACGTCATTGCAAGTATTTCCGCTTCGTGGGCCGGGCAAATAGCTGAAAAGGCAGGGGAATTCCTAGAAAACTCCTTACAAATGGGACAAGGGATGGCCACAGGAAAACCATTCGGGGAGTCCGCGGCTAAAGTTGTGAGCAAGGTATTTTCTACGGAAAGTGCCAACGTCAAGGCCTCATGCTCGTGGGGTCAGGAGGTTGCTACTTTTGCCGCTGGATGCTTTTGGTCAGGTTGGTGCACCTACAGGCCACTAGCATTGAATACCTTCCCTTTATATTTTGTATCAGCATCTTGACGCGTTTGCCTTGGTAAAAAGCATTTTCAGTGTCCCGCTCCTAGCCGTAGCGCACGTTCCCAGTCATCGTCTCTTTCCTATCGCCCGAGACCCGAAGTATAATGCCCCATTATGCACGGCGTATCCCTCCATGAGGCCGTAGTCAAAATCCAAGCTGTCCTCTCATTAGCCCCTCCATGTCCTCCCTTTCCCTCCCAGTCGAGCTTTCTTTTCAACGAGTCCCTGGGGTGGCCTCCACCCGTGTAGGGTATACAGGGGGAAGCGTGCCACACCCTTCGTATAAAGAGGTTTGCACAGGGAGGACTGGACATGCTGAGGCTGTGGAGATAAAATTCGATCCTTCCATAGGTAGGGAGGAATTGCGGGCGAAGGAAACAAAGGGAGGTCATTATCGCAAGCATGTCCAGTGCCCCTCTTTTCGGAACTAGCATCTCCACCAACCATCAACCACCTAAAGTTAGCCACGCCAGACTTCTTTACTTTTTGTCTCTGACGTATCCTTGCTTTTCCCTCGTCGTCGCTCTCCTCGTAGTCACGTATCCGGAGCTCTTGACGGTTTTATGGGATCGGCACGACCCCACCCAGAAGGACAGGCAGGGAAACGACCGGGGGACGCAGTATCGTTCGGCGTGAGTGGAGGGGCAGTGGGAGCAACGCAAGCAAGAAGAAAGAGGGCTTGGACGGGATCGAATTTCTCCCAGGAATACGGCATGGAAGGGTACCGCGATCATATGCCTTCCTTGTGGCAATGAGGGGGGAAACTGGATTTGTTATGATGATTATACGCACTGGAATTTATTCTCCTCCATATATCCTTGCACCCTTCAACATGTTTCCGAACCACGTGCATACTGATTTGTTGGGGGTCTCTGTTTTCGTAGGATTTTTTATCATTCGCCCGAGCAGAAATCACAAGCTGAAGCGGCCATTAAGCAAGAGCAAAAGCGCCGGTCGATGCCAATTGTGACGCAACTTGTGCCTGCAACGACATTCTACGAGGCCGAGGTAAATAAAGATAAATTATCACTAGGATATCAGTTGCGAAGGGCAAGAAGCGGGAATCCTGTCATTTAGGGAAACATTTTACAGGGAAGATGTGAGTCTTCTAGAACGCTCACTTACCATCAGGGCAATGTTTCCATCGTTTCCTCTCCATTTGTCAGACTTACCACCAGCAATACCTGGAGAAGGGGGGTCAGTGCGCGCGAAAGGGAGATTTAACTCCGATTCGATGCTACGGCTGAGAAGTACATGTTAAAGACAAAATGACCGCAAGGCAGAGAGGGGTTGATATATTGATTTCGGGGGAAAATGTGAGCGTGGGATGCGACAAAAGACGGAAAATTAAGGGAAGAACAAATGAAGCTATGCGTCAGCTATGTCATCTTGTTCATATCTGAGCCATTTTTCTCGTTAATTCTTCATATTGAAACCTCGACAGTGGGAGGCAAAGGCTTTCCCATCTAATTAAAATACTGCCTCTCAAGAACCGGACACATGATACGTAAGCCGATCATAGCGGTGGGGGTCGTATGACAAACGTTACGCTAACGGCCGGGCCTGGTTTCTCGGGGTGATTGATTCGGCGATCGCACCGGACTTTCATGTCATGTTCCATATTCACATGACAGTAGTAAAGTATTGAGACATGCGCCGCAAGAACGCGAAAACGGAATGATCCAATTGGTGCACGTGTATCCTTATTCAGGTTTGCGTTTCAGCAACTAGCATTTTGGTGTCAAGAACCGAACACACTTGAACGTTCTACTTTGTTGTTCTCTGCTTTTTCTTGTGTGCCTCTTGAAATGAGAACAAAAAAGTTTTGGTGGTACCTGCCAATGTCACGGTAGCGATTCTTGAAAACTTTCAGATCATCATAAGTATGAGCCATGGCAAACTCCTTGCAGAAGTGCAGGATACCTTTGCGTAACCTTATAAATGCCGACCCTTTCTGCTGCATCACCAAAACAGGCAACAGACCCTCTCACAGTGAAGTGGTGAGGTTCCCGTATATCACTGATTAAAGGCGCCAGCATCTTTTTTTACTGGTTTATCATCACTACGATGGCCGCGTCACACTACACAACGAAGTCTATGCCGGATACCAAATTCCAAATACCTCCTCCAGCGAGTGTGAAAAACGATCACCATGCGAATGTTTCCTTTCTACTCAATCTGTTGTTTATTGCCTTAGTGCCGCTTTCTCCTTTTTTTGCGTGGGTTTTATTGCACGTGCCCATACGTATCGTACTTGGTGCACCAGCCTTCATTGGTGTCGGGGCAATGCTTCTGCTCGTCCTCGCCCTCGCCTACGACTCACTCGCCAACAGACCTTCGGGTGATGTGCCCTCTCCTCCCTCGCCTCTTCCCTTCCTCGGGCAGTCGAAGGAGCTACACAGCTATCGGCATCGGGCGTTGGATTGGCTGACACTGTACTCCCAGAAATTTGGAGGGAAGACCTGGACTTTTAAAGTCATGTTCCGCCCCCGCGTCTACGTCATTTTGAGCCCTGAGAATGTTGAGTATATTCTCAAAACCAATTTCCTGAACTACGGCAAGGGTCCTTTGTTCCGGTCTCGTATGCAGGAATTGTTGGGTGAGGGCATTTTTAATGTGGACGGCTCGCGATGGTATGAGCAACGGAAAATTTCATCGCATCTGTTCTCCCACCGCAACTTTAAGCAAAGGATGCTAACGACCATTAACAAAGATGTGACAACACTAGTAGGTATTGTAGGTCAAGCTGTGGACAAAGCGAAAAGTAGCACCAGCGGGGCAGCAGAGATCAACTTTTCACGGCTCTTTGCACGGTATACGCTGGATGCCATAGGAGAGATCGCATTTGGAAAGGATGTTGGAGCGTTGCGAGGCGAGAGCGAAGACTTTGTCACGTCGTTTGACTTTATCCAATCATTTCTCAACGATCTTGTGCTGAAACCCCCGGGGTATGCGTTTTACTGTCGGCAATTTACGCCGGAGGGTAAAAAATACTCCGAATGCCTGGCTACCCTGAACTCGTACGTACAGAGCATGGTAGAAAGAGCCCGGCGTGAGACGACTCCCGAGGAGCTTGCCGCTCGAGGAGACCTACTGGCTCTATTTTTGACCCGCACCGATACGCACGGAAACCCATTTTCATTGGAGTACCTGCGGGACATTGTCGTAAACATGACCATCGCGGGGAGAGACACCACGGCCTACGCCTTGGCATGGACCCTCTGGCTCCTGGCAATACACCCTGATGTTCAAGACAAGGCGCGTGCAGAGGCCCAGGCGGCCTTTGCGAAAGCAGGGAGTCAAGGAGAGGAATTGAGCTACGAGGCGATCGATAGCTTGACCTACCTGGATGCGATCTTTTCGGAAGTACTCCGTCTCTACCCATCGGTGCCCAAAAACCCCAAATGCGCCTATCGCGATGACGTCCTTCCAGATGGAACACCAATTCGGGCTGGTTCCTACGTGATGTACGTCCCCTACGTCATGGCACGCCTTCCGAACCTGTGGGGTCCCGAACCAGAAAACTTCGACCCCGAACGTCATTTACAAGGACGGCTTCGACCGTCTCCTTACCTATGGCCGGCATTTCAGGCAGGCCCTCGCATTTGTTTGGGCCAGAAACTTGCGTACATGGAAGCAAAGGCTATACTCTGTTCCTTGTTGGTGCGCTTTAAGTTCCATCGTTCTCCATCGGTATCGGCGCCCCGGCTGGTACAGAATGCTCTTACTACATCCATGGAGGGTGATGGACTGATATTGGCGGTGAAACATGTTGGAATGAAGGGTGGAGAGGCTGAACTAACGGCAGGAAAGGAAGGTGAGGTACCGCAGTAACAGCAGAACATCGACGTGAAAAGCGGAAATTGGTAGGACAAAAAACGAAGGGCCGAATAGAATCAATTTTTCATTCAATGGTGTGTGACATGTCCAGAACAGAAGAAGAGGGGGACTGCAGTGACAATGAATCGTTGGGGGTGTCGTGGGAGGCAGTGCATTACTTTGAAGGAGCACGTTGCTTGTGGGTACCGTACCGGGGGCACGAAGGAGAAACTCGGCGTAGAGCAGAGGGCACGGTGATGATGTGCGCGGGATCCACACAAATGTCAGGTTGAATTGGCGCTTGTACGCTTCGTTGATCTTCTTGAGTGCTTGGGGCTCTTCAGCAAGAAGTGTTCGACACCGGGATAGCACGGATTAGGTAGCAAAGTATTCTCTTACATGGTCCCGGACGCTAGAAACGGAAACCTGGTGAGATTTCCTTTCAAAGATCACCGAGCAAGAGACAGTATGAACAAGAATCGACGATCAAACAGTGTGGGCGTACAGAGGGCTTAGACATGTCACGTGAAACATGAAAGAAATATCTATTGAGAGGATGGTGGACTCAGAATGATATGATGGACCACGGAGGAGGGCGTGAAATGGCAACATGTTTTGACTAGAACATAAATGCATGCAATTTCCTAGAGACAGTCGCTGTATTGCACATCAACATTGATCAGCAAGGCTTAATCATCTGTCAAAGTCAGGAGCAAGTTCATCATTTTCTAGTCACAGAAACTCGCTTCCTTACTAAGCGATTTCTCGCAAAGAAATGTACGGCATCAACATCGTCTTCCAATGCAGTCCATTCTTTCCAATCCTGCCTCTTTTCCCCTCTGTGCCTACCCCACGGCCATCCATCCGAAGGCCAACTCTCTTTGAGCCTTTCCAGCTTCGATCCTCCTTGCAGTCCCTTTTACCCAGCTTTCCCACGGTGTATATTATGACAAAAATCTCCCCTATCCACGCAACTTCAGCCGGCAGACCTGTTCCCTTTGCATCCCCCGGGCCCGACCACGATGGAGCAGGAGGAGGAGAGGGAAGACTGCGAGGACAAAGCGATCAGTGATCCTCCTCGGGGAACTCGACAATGATGGGAGGCTCGTCAAACTGATGGAGGGGGGGAGGAGAGGAGAGGGTCCACTCGAGGGAGTCGACCACGATGGGAACTTTGACCTGAAAGGTACATGCCGGCGTGTACAAGATAGATAGCGTGTGTGTATTTTAAAAGGAGAGTTGAGATACAGAGGAATCGAACGCTTTCATTCCGCATTCTTCATGTCCATCGAGAACTGGACCGTCCAAAGAGACTGAGAAGATTGTAACATTGAACGACCGGGTTTAATTACAAACAAACAGATACAGTAAGCCAAAAAGGGCGACATTAGACGCTCAGGCGGCACAGAGAGAGACGTGGCCTGGCAAAGTACTCCGGGCTTAATCCCTTCGCCCGTCAGAACCTTACCGTTCCGCTGGAATACTCCTCAGCAGTGGGGGCGTTTTTGCCCGTGAACTTCGGGGGAAAGAGCAGGCCCATCTACGTGAGGAAGGCAAAGCGTGGATGAAGAAAATGTATATGTTGAGACCAAAAAGATGGCGCTTCTAACTCCTAACCAAGGGCAAGCATCCAGCAGAGTCTAAAAAGAAGGGGGTGGATTCGTTGACGCATTTGACATTCGAGCACTCAACACAACACTCAATCCTCAAAGGATGCCCCTTCCTTCCTCTCGTTACCTTCAGCGGATGCTCCACAGGAATGCCCTCCTCAAGACCCTCAAACCACTTGGGGTTAACGTATGCGTATTCTTGGTGATCTTCTGATTCGATTTCATGTCCTCCGGCGGCAAAATTGCGCGCGGGGATGGCGCGGCGACCTGCGTGCAGGCGCGAGAATGGGGGATGGTTGAGGAGGAGGATATTATCAGGGGCAGGCACCAGTAGAGCAGCCATACCACCATAAAATGAGATCTTACACAGATATTGCGTTATTCGATTTGCACGTAGCGAACATGACGGGGCAAGAGCGGTCGTAAGCGCCTCTCTCTCCTTCACTTCCTCCCTCTCTGCTTGCCCTCAAGAAAAGGGCACTTACCACAAAGGGTAGCGGCCGGGCGGACCGTACGCTTTAAAGCCACCAGAGACATACTCGCTGTGAAGAGATGTCGCGTACGCTGTTCGAAGACGTGTGCGCGGGACGCGAGAGGAACGCGAATGAGTATAAGAGTCCTAGGGGATTCATGTGTCCCCGTTTGGGAAGTCACCCCCTAAAAATCATTGCAGGGCCGCCCCACTCGTCCTAAATGCCGCTATGCACCATGGACACAAATCACAAACACGACAGACAGCCTCAACTTCATCCACCACGCGTGCGGACGCCGGGGGCTGTGCGTCTCTGTTTGCGTCGTGTGCCGCATCCTACCGTCCGCTTTTTCCACGCAAAGTCCTCTCCCTCCGCCGCATAAGCCAATTTGCCCTTAGGTCGTGGCCCCCCCTTGGCTTTGCTGTCATTTCCGGTCATGTGACCCGTCCAATGTGATCGAAAACAACAGCATGATGACAAGGTACAGGATGTTGACGGCGTCGATTGCGGCTTCTCGTACCGGCGGTGTTGAGAAACTTTTTTGTCCGTCATCGGAGAGCGTGACTCACCCGGCTTGGACCCCGCTGTTTCCTTTCCCCCCTACATAAGGTCTTAGGCACAGGTAACAGCGTCACAATGCCTTCATCCACTTCAAGGACCATCCTGAACGTCTGTTTATTACTCCTGGTCGCTTTCGTGAGCGCTTCAGCTTTCTTCCTCCCTTCTTCCCGGGGTACGTACGTAAGACATTTGAGTGATCAAGTATTTGTGAATGTTCAGGTTTTTGGTCCTTCTTTCTCTCTTTTTGCCCTTCAGTCCTCTCCACCGGCAGCAATCACGCTCTTCACAAACATGTCGCATCGCGGAGACCATTGCCTTCGTACGCCGCTTCCGAGGAAGGTGTAAAAGACACGGAATGTACGTGAGCCATGTCGATTCTACGGTGTCCTTACTGCCACGTTTCTCGTGATCTCTTGCTTTTCCCTGGCTCCATCTCCCTTCATATTCAGCTTTTGACTTTTTCAATTATCATTGTTGCCCTCATGTCTCCTGTCTTGCTGATGTACCGTCCCAGTGATTGGGCCTACCGCACCTCCTGCCCCCGCGGTGGTGGAGAAGGCTGAGGAAGACATGACGGAGGAAGAGAAAGCAATGAAGGTATGGAAAGGAAAGAGGGGAGACAGGGGAGGTCGGCGGAGGGAGAAGCCTAAAGGAACAGGCCTGGCTTCAGGCATAAGCTTCTCTTCTCGAGCTTGGTTGCGCGTGGCATCATCTTGCGAGGACTAACAGCATGATTTTTTTTTGACAGGCAAAGATGGATAAGATCAAGGAGCTGAAAGCCAAGGAGGTGTTCCAAACACAGGTGGGGAGCATAGAAAGGGGGGAAAGAGAAGGAGGAAGGGAGGGAGGGAAGGAGGGGGCGGGGGTTGAGAAGATGAATGAGAGACAATATTCAGACACCATTGCAACATTTCTCATTCTTTGATTTCCCTCCGTCCACCATTTATTCTGCGCCTCATCGACAGGACACGGGCGATTATGAGTGCCAGGTCTGCGGATGGCAGTACAAGGAGGAGAAGGGCTTTGGCCCATATCCTGCCGGCACCGCCTTCGCCGCTCTGCCAGCCGACTTCAAGTATGAGAGGACGGGCAAGGAGAAAAGGAAGGGGATTGGGAAGAGGCAACCGGTTCAGGACCTGGAGAAGAACCGCTGACAAACGTTTTTTGTCCCCTCTCTTCCACTGCAGATGCCCGAATTGCAAAGCCGGAAAACCTGCCTTTAAGAGCATGACCAAGACCATTGCCGGCTTCAGTGATAACTCCAAATACGGCTTTGGTAAGATCAGCGAGAGTGGAGGAGAAGATAGGCGCCCCCTGTGAAATCTCGGCCCATATCAGGACGGGAAGACGCTTTATAGAACGTGGCCGAGGATCCCTGCGTTTCTTTTTCCTTTCGTCGTGGCCCTTACTTTCCCTGCGCCTCCATGTATTTTTTCCACGTGGATACGTGTTCCCCAAATATAGCATCGTCCTCATGCGTATTTTTGTCACTTTTTCTGGATTCGGTATTTGTTAATTCAATGCACAGGCGGGAATAATTTGACGTCAGAACAAAAAGGTGGTTTGATCTTCGGCGGACTGTTTTTCTTCTTTGTCCTTTTCCTGAGTGGATATCTCCTGGAATGATCAGTTTGACGAATGATTCTGATTTGATCGGTACTTTTAAAGTGTATTCGGTCAGTGAAGGTGACAGGAGATGAAAAAAAAGAATGGACAGGAAATAGGACGAAAAGGAGGCATGGAAGCACGTGAAACACTGGATTTTCTTTCGTTGAGATGAACGTGTGTGACACATGTACACACAAGGTAACAAAAACAATACAAGGATCTTTTATGTCATGCTCGACGAAAAGGCCTGCAAATTTTCCAAGGACAACATATTTTCTTTCCGAAACGTAGGGAGTAAGGTACAACCAGAACATCCCTCTACCTAGATTGCAATGATGTCCCTCATCATAATCATAGAAAGGTACATATTCCAATGAAGAGGACAAGAATATCGCAGCCGAATCCACGCCCATACCGACAGCGCACGGAGACATAGAGGAGACAGACACCAGTCCTTATATGCATGCATGAGACAGGCTATCGCTGGAAAGATCGGGGTCCGGGCTCGGACGTGGTCACACCCCGATCAGCCCTCCCGTGCAGATGTACAGTAAGCACACGTGCTGCCTTTAGGGGGGAAAGTTCATCTGTATTGCAGTTGTCGTGATTACCCTCTATTCTAGAACCATTCCCCTTAAAATTTATCGCACCCGCGAGGTCCCGCCTCAAGAGAAATGTCATCTTCCTGCCGCTTCCTTGATAACGTGGGGACTGATGCAGAGGGCCTGAAAATCAATTATGAGTGAAAAGAATGCACTCAGGCATGCTTGTCCTGTGAATACGATTTTGACTCTCATCTTATTTGACCATGAATAATCTATTACATTGTGTTGAAGTTCGCCTGGTACGGAGATCTCACGAGGTTCGGCAGCTTAATCTCCATGATACCATCCATCACAATTTTAAACTTACCATAGGGGTGCCATGCGGTCCTTCTTCTACCTCCTATACCTATGCATCTTCTTCGTCGTTGCTTCCATCAATGCCTTTGTACCCTCCACTCCTGCTCCTGTACCTTTTCCTTCTACTTCCTCTTTGACACGTAACGCTCAAATGCTGGGACGTCGCCATGGGCGTGTCCTCACACAGGTCTTTTAACAACTTTATCGCCTGCACTCGTGAATTCTTCCCTTAAATCGTCTTGTGCTCTTCTTACTTGCATTCCATCTCAATCCAGGCCAAGAAACGCGGTGGAGCAGCCTCGGGCCCGCAGAGCGTGACAGGGGAGTCTTTGAGAGGGTTCACAAAGGTACTAAACAAAGGGGGTGGCACGACATACCGGGAAAGTAAATATGTTGGACAATCACATCGGCATACTCGTCAAAAAATGGCCACTCCCTCGTTTAAAGGCAAAAATGAGTGCTGAAGAGTGGAGATCGTTGCGTGTATGCTGGTATCACCAAGCTACCTTGTCCTCTTGGCTAGCGCGCTGTCTTCTGTGTAGCCCTCAGAACCTCATGAAGTGCGCTCACTTTTGTGAACTTCTGTAGGTTTTAGACGTGGGAAGCGAGCTGGCCGATGCTGAAGGGAGTCAGAAAGCCGTCGGCCCTCTGAAGGACGACAAATTTCTTCTCCTTATCAGACGGAAGGAAGGGCGAGTCAGTGCAATCGACGCCAATTGTGGTAAGTGCCGTAAAGCGGGAAGAAAAGAAGGGAAAATTAACCCTAACCCTAACGGAAGTCGGCAACTCATCTCTGCCCGTTATATGAATTTATCCGAGGTATGATGCTCGTTTATTGCGCTTAACGCACTCTCTCCTCCTGACGTGCATGGATTTTATATGGATCCCTTATTCCTCTGAATGATGAGCCAGGCCGGTGCAAGTTCCCGCTCTTAAAGGGCAAAGTCTCGGAAGACCCCAGTGTGGAGGATGACGAGGACAAGGGAATCATCACCTGGTAATGCAACGTGGGTGTCCTCTCCTCGGTCCTCCCCTTCCTCTCTAGTGCCTTTGCAGGTTCTGATTTTGGCATCCCTTTCGCCACCTGCTTCCCTCCCACCCAATTTTTTTCCTCTCTTCCAGTCCATTGTGCGCCGTGCGTTTCTCCCTGGCCAGTGGTCTCGTCACGGGTGCTCAAGCCGACAACGTACTCCAGCGTGTCTCCGCCTCCTTTTTCAGCAAGCAGATCGCATCGGGCCTCAAAACCTACGCCGCCGCAGCCGGCACGGACGGGAGTGTGTATGCGAAGCTCCGGTAGATATCGATGCCACTTCTTCTTCTCCCTTGTTCATTCCTGCTCCTTCTGCCCTTGCTCCTTCAAATCAGGCGGTGATGCGTCAAGGTGGGGGGGGGGGGGTTC